TGCATGTTATGTTATTCAAAAAAAAAAAAAAATTCAGAAACACCTTAGAATAGTTCAAGTTGGCATATGATTTCTCTGCTCTACCCCAACTTCATCAACCTAATTAAGGTATGCATGTTTCATACTTTCTCCAACATCACTCAATTCCTTTTTTGCTTTCATATATATATATATATATATATATATATATATATATATATATAAAGGATATTTTCGATATTAGAGTACAAAAGCTATTTCCAAATACTTGGGAAATGAGAATAGCTAATACTAGGAGGACCCTAGGAATGACTATTCCCCCTGCAAGGGGAATACCTCATGTTGGGTAATATGGTTGAAAATTCCCAAAAATAATAATCCTACGAAAAGATTAATATTATATGGAAAAACAGAAAGAATTGGGAAGGAAAAGGTTGATTGTTTGGGTAAAGGTTTAGCACGAGTTCGAACACAAAGTTCTTTTCCTTAAAACCTTATTTGCTACCTCCCACAAGTGCTAGGAGCGTTGTAGCCTAGGTTTCCCAGGATAAAATGTGCTACGATTCCTTGTTTAAGCACTTAAACAAGGAACCCGGCAAACAAAGCAAAGCTTAGAACACTGGTTGGCTAAAAGAAGAGAGTAGAAGCAGAGTTTTGAGATGAAAATCAACTGGAATTCCTTTGTTTCTCACTGTGTTAAATGCTACTGCTTCTACCTCTCTTTATATAGGGATGTTGGAGTGATAGCATTCAACATGGCCATTAAATTGGTGTTAAAACCAATTGTGTAACACCTGTAACGGTCACCACTAAGTAGGATTAAACTCAGAATTTAAAAATTAGAATTAAAACAGTATTAATTCCGTAACAGATGAGTTTAATCTGTACAACAGGCTGAACTTTCGGGTTTCAGACCGTTGGGGTGCAGGTTCACACGAGAGCACACGGACCAGGCAACACGAGAGTACAACTCTCGTGCGCACTGTGGTGCAACCCGAAAGTGCACTACTCTCGTGGTCACAGATTCACAGATGCACGAGAGTTGTGCTCTCGGTGCACCACAACCTCTCTTGCTCCTCTGGAAAATGATACCGAAGTTAGGCATATAACTTAGCCCGCAAGGCCAACCCATTTCCGAACGACATTCGTGCCAGGTGCTGGCGCACGCGAGCTCGGGCTTGAATCAAGCCTTTTCGATGTCCTCTAGTTGGATTTTGATTTGCACCCCCCACCCCCCCCCCCCCCCCCCCCCCCCCCGCGCGAGAGAGCCTCTATGCTATACAATTCTACAAGCTTGAAAAGAGCTCATGTATATAAGGAGGGCAAATCTTGTTTCCAAACCAATGTGGGACAAAGTCCTACATTTTCCCTTCATTTCCCAACTTAAATGGGTCTACTTTGAGAATCAATATCTCATTCACCCATTATCCGTTTTGAGCGTACAATATATCAATCTCTTCGTCTTACTACGAAGAATCCGAATCCACTTTGACCCGACCCAAATCGGAAGTGGACCCCACTGATAATTGTACCACAAAATAGCCACTTAATATGCCATTTTAAGCTAATTTTTCCAACAATCCCCCACATGAATGAAAATTGATTTTCGGGGTAGTTTTAAAAACGGAAACAATTGTGTTCAACGGTCGATCCCTGCATAGGATAGGTAGGGTCACACCCTTTGAACCTTCCCTCGTGAAGATACATTTACTCTACTGACTGTACGGTAGAACGCGATGTCTTTGAACCGACTTCTGTTTGTGTAGACGATGACATATCTCACACAGGAACCTCCCAACCATGCTTTGTTCTCATGATTGTGCCCATTTTGGTCGTGGGTCACCATTCCTGGTTCTGCAAGAGTTTGTGAAGAATTGTGCCCGTCAATTCTCCTTTGAAGTGACCCTCACTTCTCTCTCACATAGGTGATTCTTTCCCGAGTATCCCGCATACTCTCATATGTCAACCGACATTCGAATCACTAAAGCATTTAACATGCTAACCTTGTGCGGGAGCCACTGTTTCTAACGAGGAGTGGTAGGGAATCCGAGACCCCCACAGTGACACGCTCCGTTCCATAATTTAGTTGTCCCATTGAACCTAGGTGCCAGCTAGGTTGGGTGTCCACTATAGAACTTTATACCAAGGGCTTTAGACCCATTCCTCGTCTCAACTTCTCTACAGCTACTCTACATAACCCTTTGGTTAGCGGATCCGCTATATTGTCTTCTGACTTTACGTAGTCAATCGAGACAACACCAGTTGTGAGAAGTTGTCTAATGATATTATGTCTACGACGCACATGTCTAGACTTACCATTATACATATGATTCTGTACTCGTCCAATTGCAGCTTGACTATCGCAATGCACACACATTGGAGGTACAAGTCTTTCCCAATTAGGAATATCCTCTAAAAAATGGCGTAGCCATTCAGCCTCTTCACAACATTTGTCCAAGGCTATCAGCTCAGATTCCATCGTGGATCTAGCTATCACGGTCTGTTTAGAGGATTTCCATGCAACGGCTGCACCAGCTAGTGTAAACACGTAGCCACTCGTGGACTTGGAGTCCTTAATATCGGATATCCAGCTAGCATCGCTATACCCTTCAAGTACAGCAGGATATCTCCCATAGTGCAGTCCAAGGTCTCGAGTATACCTTAAGTATTTCAGAACCTTCACTATTGTCGTCCAGTGCATGGCACCGGGGTTACTCGTATATCTACTGAGTTTACTAACCGCAAAGGCAATATCCGGCCTAGTGCAGCTCATTAGATACATCAAACTACCAATAACCCGAGCATATTCTACTTGAGAAATACACTCCCCGTGGTTCTTGGTTAGATGAACGCTTCGATCTAATGGCGTCCTAGTCCCTTGATGATTATCCTTGATAATTTTTTCAAGGATTTTATCAATATAATGTGATTGGCTTAACACCAGACCATCAGGTCTTCTAACGATTCTAATCCCGAGGATTAAATCAGCCAAACCCATATCCTTCATGTCAAATCTCGCATTTAACATATTTTTGGTAGACTTGATCATTCGATCGTTACTACCCACGATGAGCATGTCATCTACGTATAAACAAAGAATGACATAACCGTCTATCGTTTCTTTAACGTAGACACATTTGTCACTTTCGTTTATTTTAAATCCATTAGTCAACATCGCATGGTCAAACTTCTCGTGTCATTGCTTAGGCGCTTGTTTTAAACCATATAGCGATTTAACCAACTTACACACTTTCCTTTCTTGGCCCGGAACCACGAACCCTTCAAGTTGTTCCATATAGATTTCCTCATCTAGTTCGCCATTTAGGAAAGCCGTTTTAACGTCCATTTGATGAACTTCCAAATTCCGCAGCGCGGCTATAGCAAGTATCATTCTAATGGAGTTTATTCTCGTCACGGGAGAATACGTGTCGAAGTAATCAAGGCCCTCGCGTTGCCTGTAACCCTTGATTACAAGCCTAGCCTTATATGTAACACCCCAGATTTTCAAGACATTTTAAACTTATATAATAAAGGTAATATCTCATTACATCCCAAAGTATATCATAAGTGTACGGGGTGCTATGCCACACCTGGGCTAGAGAACCCAGGTGCACAGGCTGTCTAACTAATATCCATTGAAACATAATGCATAATATGGCGCGCAGGCCGAAAGGGAAACTAATCTATTTCTACGCTCCAATTCTAGCGCGCTCCAGTGCTCTAGTCCTCTGTGCCTGAAAGCCAAATATATCTGTTCAGCGAGAGATGCTGGTAACCCACTCCAACGCGTTGAAATACAATACATATAGAGATATATATAGATATATGAAAACCATTTTGAGCATGAGGATATATCCTAAGAACTCTAGCTTTAAAACCGGGAATGACTCGACAGATAAGGCCAGACACAAGCAACAGTTATAACGAGCATATGCAGTTCACAACAGATAAGGCAGATAAGGCAAAGCATAAACAATAACCATAACTCAACATCAACAATCCCCAACATAAATCCCGTAGTCACATCCCCCAAGATACTCATGATCACCACTCATCCATATCTCAACACATAGCACACTTTGTTGGCGCCACAGGACCAATCGCATGCCCATACATGAGGGTCAGCGCATATAGCTCTCACACGGCCCCGCAGCACCCTGCCCCGTATCGCAACACGGAGGGGTCGATCGCAACCGACCGATGAACCGCAGCTCATCATAGTGTTTGATCGCAACCAAACAGTGGACCGCAGCCCAAGAGAATGTCATCTGACCGCAGCCAGGAAAAAGGACGAACCGGAGCTCGTATAGAAACGTTTGATCGCAACCAAACGGTGGACCGCAGCCCAAGAGTACCAATCTGACCGCAGCCAGCTTCTGAACCGCAGCTCAGGATAACCAATCCGATCGCAACCGAATTGGGGTAGCACACACATAACATATAGCAAGCACATGCAACCCACATTACACATTAGGAAGGGGGAGAAAACGTATAACAAAACCTACGCGTGATCCATCACTTACTAAGAATAGTCCTAAGGGGTTCATACCTCTTCCACCTAGGTCAACGGGATACCAATTCAACTAGCATGCAATATAATAGACTCATGAACCTACGAACGGTACCCGAAACATCAACTAGACATAGGCACGATAAACGGAGTCCGTCGGGACACCACGGGGAACGGGGAACGTCAAACGGGGAAGCCGGGGTCCCGGGTGGGACAATTTTCCAGCGGGTAGCCGGTGGGTGGTGGGCCACCCGCCGGATTCTACTGTTCCGGGCAGCGGGTCGCCGGCGGCCAGCTGCCCGCCCGCCGGCCACCCGCTGCCGGGCGGTGTTTTACGGCCATGGGTAGGTGGCGGTCCCCTACCCCCCACTGACTCTTTTCACACACTTTACGCCCCGGGAACCGTTATGGAACCCGAAACCATGCTTAGACACTTTACAACACAATTAACGACAACACGTAGACAATTAACGAATCAAATACAAGAAACGAACGGCACATAACCTATCAT